CCCCCACTGCCATAGCGTATAGTCCCTGTAAGGCAACTTATTGGAATAAATAAGTAAAATAAATTTAAAAAAACAATCATGAAGTTTCCAGATCGAGCCGAAGGTGAGGGGAAACTGATATTTACCAACAAGTGCTATACAGGATGAAAGTCTGTATAAAAGTTTGACAAATTTCACATAGTACTTTTGGAAATTGATAAAAATTCGTTCCTCGAATGCAATTCATCACACGAATGATAGGAAATTATTAATTTGAAGTTAACAGCTAAATTATTTTGAATTAGGGGGGGGGGAGGGGGGTGTAAAGTTTGTATTGTAGAATATTTTGTAACGTCCAAAAATAATTCTTCATCATTTTATTGGGAATTCATCATCGTTCTAAATATTAGTGAATCCAATATTGAGAAATGGCCGACTTTCCGTCGTCATTTCCCAATCTTACTTCGTCCACATACATTTTCCACCCATAAACTCAACGGAATTGAGACCAGTTAGCATAGCCCATGCTGTTGCTGCCTGATCAGCAAAAATTCAAGCGTTGCACCATACAATTTAAGGGGTTAACGCTCATTTCCACAATCAAAATCAAAAACCAAGCCAGTCGTTTATCGCTCCTCGTCCCGAGTGGTCGAGTCTTAAAGGGGGCTTCTCTCCCTTTAGGAGAAATCCAAATTTCTTAGTGATCGCGAAATTATTGAACTACTGGTGGAAAATGTTCACAAAATCGATCTACCTTCGCGTTTCTTCCCATATAGTAATTCGCTTAAGTCGATACTATGCGTGGTAACCTATCGAATTAATAGTAGATAGCTATCGGGCGTGTTTGCGTAGGGATACTGCATCCTTAAATCGAGAATAGTGTCTTTTCTTGCATATAAGGGACCTTCAATATTTTATTTCGCCTTTCATACCGGCCCATTAATTTATTTCTCTTCAATTCTACACAAACCTCTTATTATTTATCCAAGAGTGAAAGAAGGTAGACTAATTGAAAGTAACGCCACATGGTTTCGTTGCCGGTGATGAAATCGTTAGTTTACCGATGAATTCATATATTAATTTAAGCAACGAATATTTTTCCGTATAATTGTAAAATCTTAATCAATTACTATAAATCGAATAATCAATGCAAAGTCATTCATACTAATGTTGCTAAAATTCCGACAGTAAAAGTTATAGTTCTGATACAATTATAACCTTCTAAATCTGAAAACGTGTATACATCTAAATACTCAATTGGTTAGAACTTTGAAGCCGATTAAATACATATAATAAATTGAATCAATCTTTTGATTCTAAATAAAACTTCAATTTATTTTTACGCCTGAAAAGGACTGCATAGCGTCGTCCTCATAATAAAAACTAAAAGAAATGAAAGATAATCCTTCAGATTATTCTTTTATTGATAATTCTTAGTTTATGTTTCGAGAGTATTAAAATTAAAATGTGAAAGTTGTCCTCCGACGCTGACAACATCTCCGGACATAACAATTTCATCTTTTTTGGCTCCCAAAGTAAGCAGAATGACATCGCAAATAAGGGTAATGTCCTAATAAACGACGGATATCACCAACACAGACAGATGCGTGCCATGAATATTTAGCCGACGACGTGTGTAGACAAAATAGGCCACAATAAGACAAATCTGTTTCACCTAGGTTAAGAAACCAACTGGTTCAAACCGGCGCGGAGTATGATTTCATCGCTGCCCTTTCTAATAATCCCTGTCAGCTCCCCAACATTTGAAGTGAAATTATGAAGTGAATTCAAGAGCAGTTGTTAAAAACAACCAAAAATCGAATTGTACCTGAACAATCTAATTTCTTGGAACAATTAGGATAAGGATATTGTGAATGTCTGAAGCGTTCCTTATTCCTGTTCTAAAATTGAATAAAATTTGAACAGAACAGTCCGTCCAACATCGAATGTTGAAATATTCCCTTTCACATCTCAGCCAGAAAAGTGCAAAAGGAAAATTATATTTTAATTATAGTTTAATTATATTTTCTGTGACGTTAGAGACTTTCCTTTTCAACCCCTCCGCTCCCCCCCCCTTATCTATATATTTTTTGGTTGATTTCTCATGAATATTAATGTTCAACAACTGAAATTCGAGAGTGGGACATATAGAGAATAATGAAACTATCATTGAACTTTCGCTCAACTAATTAATGAGTTCCAAAGCTCATATCAGTTAAGTTGCAATATATCCTTGAATGAGAAAGACAAAAGTACAGTTGAAAATTTTAGCAGTCAAATCTTTATTCAAGGACATAACTCATATGATACATGGATCTATTGAATGAATTGGAGTCTATAAGGATAATGATATGCAATTGTAGTTGCATCTGGGAATGCACTTTTATCTAGTAACCGAAAACATACTTTTGTTTTTTAGGAAGTAGGACGTGTATCTCGTCGCCCACAGTGTCCAAGCTGGCCGCCGTGGAGGATGTGGGTCCGAACAGGACCGATACACCAATTCACCCATCAACAGCCTCCCTGAGACTTTCCTCTACGACGCGGGCGACCTTACAGGCATTGAGAAGCCCGCGTAATAAGTTAATTACCTCCGTTAGTACCCGTGACGCCGAAACCATCACAGGTAAGTCACATCCTCGCAAACTCCAATACTTAATCACAAGTTGTGTTCATTTTCCATAAATACCTACCAGGGATCAATAAATAATTTTTTAAATTTATCGCTGAAGACATGAAGTTCGTAGAATGTCTTTGAGATGACTAAAAACTCCATATAGTCCAGTCAATGTAGAGTTAAAAATAGCGTTCATCGAAAGTTGAGTTTCAGGGGATGAAATTATAGTGATTGATAGTTGAAACTCCCCTGATCAATGTTTGAAAATGTATATGTTCAAGTTTTCCGGCGTGATTTGTAATTAATTATTAAAAATTGCAGATTTGCGCTATATATCGTTTAATGATATATTTCTCCGACCTGCCTCATCCAATCGGAAAAATAAAATTGTAACATTGTAGCTGACGAAATTTGCCGTCAAACGAAATCGGGAACTTATATCGGAAAATGTATGGTTAATTTATTATAAATTATACAAATAATTCCGATCAGTGTACGCTAAAGCGTCAGCTGATCACTCCACCATTAGTGGGCCTGAGTCACGTGATTCGCGCCTTGCGCAACTTATTTAAACCTCCGCGTCATATGCTACAAATTTAATTATAATTCTGTGGGGCAGTTTCCACAATGTTTAACAATTTTCGACACATGGTTCAAGCCAGAGGGTCACGAGGGTTTAAACTAACGATCGCGAGAGTTAAAACTAAAGGTGGAAATTATGGGTGACGAGGGTCAACAATGAGGATAAAAAATCAAGGCACGAAGATCAGAACTAAGGGTCACAAAAGTCAAAAACTCAAAGAACGTGACAAACCCTTCAAAATGAAATATTATACACAGCATTTTCTTTAGATTGGCGGGCTTTATGCGAAAAAACGATTGCACCTTTTTGAATCATCAAATTTGTCAATTAAATTGCGTAAGAAACTGTTGAAATAAATGATGAATATTTAATGTCATTCAAATTACATTTTTCACACAATTATTATTTTTTTGAACATTCTCCGTTTATGAATAAATATTTGAAATTGGTGATACTTTCGAAAACCTTTTTTTTGGCATAAAATCGATTGCTGGTAAAATTTTGAATGTGAATATTTTTTATAATTTCGAACAAATGATTGTTATGAGGAAAAATTTAGGAGGAAGATTGATGGAATTCAAAATGTTCGTTGGATTCCATATAATTAAACTAGGTACTTTTTTCGATTATCTGAATTCGATCACGGAAAAATTTATTTTTTTCACTTGACTCGTTTTTTTTTCATACGGTATAAAAATTATTATTCGGTGTTGTTGAATATTAAAATAGTACATGACAAGTTTTCGGAATAATAATTATTATTTTTGTACCGGACGGAAAAAGGAAAAAAATTAATAAACAGAAAAAATTACTTTTTCTATTATCTAATTGAGGTAAAAACAAAAATATCTATTTTTTTATGGAATGTAACGAACGTTTAAAAAAAAACAGTTTAAATCGGATTAAAATGGTTATACGAGGAGCATTTCAAAACCAAAAACAGGTAAAACGACGTTTTCGTCTTACGTACGGGGTAAAATGGGTTGAGCACAAAGTTTTTTTCTGTTTTTTAGATACCCGATGATATATTAAAAGTATCTCGATAGTTATTTTCATCAACCGTAGACTCAAATTTCGCCAGGGTCCCCCCCCCTAAACATATTTTTTTCATTTTTAAACATTGTGGAGACTCCCCACAGAATTATAATTAAATTTGTAGCATATGACGTGGAGGTTTGAATACACGAAGTGAAATGTGGTTGTAGAAAATTTTACGGAACTGTCACGGAATTTCCCCAGAGCGTTCCGTAATTTTTACCTGAATCTCCTGTGAAAAATGATTATACCGTCACTTAAATTTTCTGAGTCGATTCCGTAATCGGTGAGCGAATTGTAAGTTCCGTGATTTTTACTAAACATTTCTCTCCGTGTAAGGGCAGTAATGATGATGATAATGATTAATTTCAGTTCTCCACTCCTATTTACGCCTAACACGTTACGCATACGAAGCGAATAATTCACTTAATTATTTAAAGAAAATTTTTAAAGAATAGCAGCAAATTTATCACAGAATAGGGAACTTGCATGAATTATTGTCAATTTTGCTTCCGCATGGATGCTTTGTAGTCGTCAATTCTTACGATCTTCCAATAATGTCATGAAACGTTAAGATAGGATGTTTTTAGAAAATGCCTGTGTATGTCCGCGTGTGTGTGAATTTTTGGAAAGTCAACGATTGAATATTGTAGATTATCATTGGAAGAGAAATCAATTCTTAAATTTCAGAAAGATGCCTCGGTGTCCCATTAATTCCATCAGAATCAGTCTCTATTGTCGTTCCAATACTGTAATAAAGAATGAAAAATGTTACATTTTTTTTTCATTAGATATGAGTAGGAAAAATCAATGAAAATGTCCAGAGTGTTAGTGTAGAAAAATTTAATAAACCAAAGTCCAATTCGTGTCATACAAACGATGGAAAAAATATAAATAAGCGAATGCCGTATATGGATTTTAATGTTCGTTTGGTGCCAGTTGTAATAGTCAGAATCGTCAAAACGAACACCGCAAATAATTGTAGCTACACTGACGGCACTTGTGCTGGGCACAACTTTTCGCCATTGCTCCAAACGTTTCTTACCAAAACTGATAATCAGAAAACAAACATTTTCTGTGAAAAAAAAAAATATTGAAGGAGTTTTGAACCCGGATCGCCGAGTTGGTAGGCAGACCCGCTGCTACTCGACCAAAATGCTACTTTGAAAATCATGTGTTATGACTAAACCTTTCGGGTGAAATTTCTCCCTTATTATTAGCCGTCTGCCCTTAATGTCGGGATGAGGAACAACTAGTAACACCCTTTGAATATTATCAAGCTGACTGAAAACTTTTACCTACAACCCTTGGCCTCTCCTTGTGAGTAAAAAAAATAATTCATATGTTATATAAAAGGATTTCTCAAATTAATCACTAATATTAATCGTAGTCTTCAATAAAACAATAAAAAAAATCACTTACATATGGTATGTGAGGTTAGTATTGGGAAACCAAAAATTGGGGCAATTTTTTACGCAGCAACTGCTCACCATTTTGATTTTAATAATTTTTCGTCACTAACAATACATAATACTCGTGTACACTTCGTCTAATTTTGTAGTGAACAACTTTTTGTGTCCAACAGTATTTTTCTTTATTCTCACAGCATCCCAATTATTTTTACAACTCTTGGACTCACTGGGTATAGCTCCAACGAACGTTCTTAACTTGCTTGTACTGCGCGTGGTTTTGTACGCTCTGCGTATGCCCAGCGCCGGAGAGAGTGAGACAGGCTTCCTTGAAAATCTACCTCTCTCTGACTCGTTTTCCGCTCACGGGCATAGCATGGTAGTTCCCTTTCCAGTATGACTCTATTTCACTGATCTCTATATAACTGGATGACTTGTTCCCTAAAGCGCTTCAGAAGCAAATTGAAGGCTCACCCAGCGCCCCTATAACCGGCGGTGGTACTAAAATATACAACAATGCGCATGCGTGGGCATGATATTCGAAGTGGGGGGTAGTAATATGACAGTTAGGATCCAGAAATGCCCTTCACATTTTACCACCTTTTTGCTCATGAAAAATGATGAATGGATGAAAAACAAAACTCGTCCAGATGGTATCCATCAGGGGGTTTTATTCCTATTCTATTTAGTTTTCTATTTTTTCATTTGTTATTTGATTGAATCCTTCAATCGCCAAGGGTGAATATCGACTATACGATATTACGTACTTACTCATGAAACGATAGATTTTTCCATTGTGTTTTATTTTTCTTACAATAAACACAACAAACGATTGAAACTCATATGAGGTACAATGTTTCACCAATTTAATTTTAAATTATTTTTCTTGGTAAGTTGATAAACAATATCGCAACACAAATAAAAACACGTCACTCAGCTCCACAATGAATTTTTGGTTATCAACGCACGGTAAAATTACCATTCCCACTAGCAACAATTTAGATGACGCATGCGCACTGGTATCGGATTTAGTACCACCGCCGGTAATAGACGGCGCTGGGTGAGCCTTCAAATCGCCTCACTTTTGGCGTGCTGGGTCCATAAGGACCAGCTATCCAACCGACCGTAATGGTTGGGTGAGTTAGGTGTTGCTCCGGCGGACATCCGAGTGCAGCTGCGTTTAGCGTGGTTAGTACTTGGATGGGTGACCGCTTAGGAACACCCTCGCCCAAAAATTTCGGAAGGTAGGCACGGTGTGGTGGCCTAATGTGCCCCTCTAGTCAGTGTGACAGAAGGGCTCATTAGGGCTCTGCACAATCGGCCGGCTATACGACTGAGGTTTTTCATGGTTTCCCTTGCAGTCCTAGCCCGAATGGGGTACAGTTAAAAGAGTAAGACGGCCCATGGTAACGCAGTATATCTACCCTACCAACAAATCTAATTCCTAAATCCTGAAACGTCCCGTAGAGGGATAACGGCCGAATAGCCAATGTAGCTGGAGCCATAAGAAAGAAGAAGAAGAAGAAGGACATGCTATCCAGTTATATAGAGATCAATGCTCTATTTCAGTGATTCTGGTCGCGTGCTAAGCGCTACGCAGTCCGTGTATTTTCCAGTGCGACGTTGCCAGAGCGATATCCTGTTCTCAGTCGCAAGCGCGCCGATTATGAATTGTGGGAAAGTGAAATGAATCAAATTGTTTTTTCTTCTACTTTTTTTCCTTTTTACTTCTGAAACAATTATATGGACAAGACAAAGAATATTTATTTTATAAATATCAAATGAAATATCAAATTCGTATACATAGGGAAGATTGTTTTTTTTTCAACTTACAATTTACAGTGACAACGGTATTTTCTCAACAATCACCTATCTCTACTGACATGACAAAAAAATTATCTCTCGTCAATTGGTCTTCTCCTGGAAATGTTCTCCTGGAAAATCCGAAAGACAGTAGATTTATTATCAATATTATCAAATAC